TGGGGTGACCGACCGTGTACCCTAGCACCTCGTATTTGTCACCACCTCCGCCACCGTGATGGATGTGCTTGGTGATTGTGTGCGTGTGATGGATGGTCTTGATCTTGTAGGGCACGTGGATCACCACGTGATCGCTGAAAATTTCATTTGAATTATTTAAAAGAAAAATGAACGATGTTTAAAAATGAAGTTCACGATCGTTTACGGGTAATGTGTAATTAAAATTTTACATGGAATATTGAAAAAATCTATCACGTATTTTTTCGATCCAATAATAAAATGATTATTTTCTCCGTCTTCGAGTGACATTTAATAATAGACGAGAAAAGTTTTGAAACTTTCCTTTCATTTTATTTGGAATCTTAATTAATAATAAAAGAACAGAGAAATAGAAATTCCATTATCGTTGGGTATACTGTGGTTATTTTTAATCGTTGGTATGAAGAAATTTTTAGGGACAGATTTATCTCGCCGTATCAAAACTTATAAAAACTTATATATAGAAAATTAATTTTGATTGACATATTATATTTTATATCGATTATATATCTTGTAGATGATAAGCGTTAAAATATTAACTCGAAAATGAATTGTCTTTCAATTAATTTTTTGTCAATTTCACGGACGATCGTGCGCGTAATGACGCAGAAACGACGCTTCCTGAATCATTGGATAGGAAAGAACGAATTTATTTTTACATTCGATAATGGTTGTTGGAGGAAAATTGACCATCGATAAGCAAAATATCTAGAGAAAGTCGTGACGCGTGGGTCGACTTCATGGTTCGTTACTTTGATTTATGATTGCGAGTAGATAGCTACACTTCCGCTTGATTATAGTAAATGGCAAATAACCGTGGACGACGTTATTGCATATGGACGTAAAAGAAACTCACTGTCCACCATGATGTCCTGCTGAAGCCAAATTGAGCAAAGAGGCAACCACAAAGACGGCCTGAAAAAAAAAAACCTCGATTTAACCAGTGTAGAAAATTTCTGAATATTACCATTAACATGCAAAATGTATGTCGTGTATATCGAGAGAAATTTAAGCGAATTTAAATTGCTACTAGAATTTTCTTTTTTAAACGAACATCATATTTGCATAGAGAAATTTTAATACGTGGAATTTTTTCTGCAATGATCTAATAATACATGAAATTTCGTCTTTTATCTTCATGATTGTAATTCGGATTGAATTATAAGAATTCTCTTAATAGAACAATTCTTTTGAGAAAGTTTCTCAAGAAAATTTTTAAATTTTTTCTAATAAAAAAATTTTCTCAAAATTCTGTATTTTTTAGTTAAAAAGAATTGTTAAATTTTATTATTCATACTTTTTCTAGATCTCTAAAAAATTCTTATAAAATTTTCTTACTTTATTTAAAAAATAAAAGACGCTGAGAATTTTTTTTTAAGTAAAAGATTTTTTTCAAAACTAGAAATAAGAAAAACATTAATGAAATTTTTTATATTATTAATTTCTTTCTTCTTATTAAATTTTTATTTAATATACTATTTACAAATTTTAAATTCAAATCTTGAACTTGAATTATATTAATCCAATATAAAATATTCTATTCTGCATCTTCCAAATAAAAATAAATATCAAAACTTTCGCTAAAATTCACTTTAGAAATCGATTTATCCAAAGTGATTGTACATCTAAAATTTTTCGAACTTTCATTCTTTGCATAAAATTTATTTATCCCAAATTCAATTATTCTCTTCGAATTTACGCAAAACGTCATTTTCTAATTTTTACAAATCAAATTACCAATAATTCACCAGAGGAAAGAAAAATCTTTTCAAATTTCCCGCGCAATCTTCAAATCGAATTTCAAGCCGAGAATTAACTTACCGCGAGCTTGGTCATCGTGTTGCTCTCCTCTGGTACCCGTTTCTTTAGTTTAAAGACCAGCTCGGAGCGAATAATTCGAGGAAAATAATAAGAGAACGAACGACTACCGGTTCCTTCTTCGCGATACAGTTGGCGGTTTCAACCGCAGTTTTGATCTGCTGACGGTTGTGCACACGCTCGCCGCTTTTATACATGTACGTGATTGGAGTTGGATAAGAATGAAAGGGAATCTTTTGCAAGCGTAAAACTGATGCACGTGAAAGGAGCCGTCTAATAGAGAAGACGTGGCAAAAAACGGAGGACCAGCGCACCCCCTCCACCTAAGTTGCCTACCCTTCACCTCGATCCCATCGTTTTGTTCATTTCCTCTTCTAGACGTTCCTAGGTCTGTTTTGACACACCTTGCGTCCCCACCGCCTTCCTCACCGCCTTTGCCACATAGTGTACTGTGGTCTTTTTAATGAAAGCTGGACTTGGTTGGGTGAACGGCCAAGATCAAGATCACCGTCGTAACACGACGAGGTGGGTGCACTCGCGGTTTGTTTCACTCGTTGGTTGGTTGACGTCTGGGATGATTCATTTTTACCGATCGAGGAGAGAGACGATCGAAAGCAATGGATACAGATAGATGACGATCGAACAGATGAGGTTATGTTACGTGAACCGTAAAATTTTTCCGTGTTTTATTCTTATTTTTGTTTCTTTTTTTCTCTTTTTAAAGATTATTTTGTTTTTTTTTCTCTTTTGGATAGATTAGGTTTTTGAGGTTAGTTTTTTGAGATTTTCGATCTTCGTGGAGAAATTTACGTGTTGCAATGAAATTTATCGTGTTCTTTGGATTTTGAGGTTTTAAATTTGGAAGATTTGAAAAGATTGTTACATTTTTATAGTTTGTATTTGCTTCTACAAAATTAAAATTCTTTTTTTATTCCTCTATCTTCATGTATAATTGTTATATCAATGTTCATGATATTATATCTATTTTGTATTTTAAAATGTTCAAAAGTGAGTTCGATTATTCCTAATATTAAATTTTCTTTTCAGATTATGTTAATCACCAATGATTTAATTAAAATTTAATATAATTGATTTAATTAATTTAAATAAATTTTCTGATAAATGTATTAAACGATAAGTATAATTTTTATTTCAATCTCATTTTTTTTGTGCCTTAATTATTAATTTTCAAATTCTTCGAGAAAAAATTCTTTAATGTTGAATCAACTGATTTATGACTATTTATTTATTTACACATCAATTTGCACGCAACTTTTAGAATGTAAATTTTATTCACAGGATATTAATTAAAATTCATAGAAGTAATAATTCATATAAGAGATAAATATATTTTCGTACAATAAATATCTTAAGCAATGTCTTAAGCTGCTACATAAAATATTTTATTATTATTCCATCAAAATGAAATATGTTTATTAATCTCATCTTAACTATATAATAAAAATAAATTATTTTAATTGATAAAAAGAATACCAGCTAAATTATTCGCCATTATAATACATCATAGTTTCATTTATTTATAATTTCTGAAATCTACGAAATCATCTCGAAAGCATTGTCTTATCTCTTTATTATATCTCTCTGTAATCTCTTTAATTTCAATTAAAAACTGCGACTTCGTCAGTCATATAAATTAGTCTCGAAAATTTGCATAAAAATGCAATATTTTATTCAATTGTTTCAATTTCGAAATCGAATCAGAAATGTATTTAAATACAAAATATTTGTAACAAAAATTCAATCAATTAAATTTATTTTAATCTCATATAAGTGCACAGCGAATTATTATATTGTTAATTATCATAAAATAGAATGTTTCGTTTAAGAGATATCCATATATTATAATTTGAATAAATAAATACATGGCTCCATTTGTAGCAATTTATGAACTCATTTTATAATAGCTAAGAAAATAGAAAAACAATAGAAAATATACTAACAGCACACAAATAGTAATTCAAAAATATGTTTTTATTATAATTCTATATATCTTATATAGAAGAATATAGAATTTCATATTAAAAACATTCTGAATTCAGAAAAAGAGATTAATTTAAAAATAATTTATTAATCTACCATAAATTTATAAATTCGAAGCAAGCAGGAAAGGAAATTAATTAAATGACTTAAATATTAGTCATTTTAAAAAAAATTTACAAGACAGTAACTAATCAACTGATTAAAAAACATGCAATTGCACATAAAGCAATAATTAATCACTTCATGGTTCATCAATTGATTACTTATAGATAAACTTAATCTATTATTCAATTATTATTTGATTACAACTTGTTCTATGCTTTCTATTCTTTAAGCTGTATTGATGCATCCTTAATGTTTGCATAAGTGACTTTTAAAAATACAATTATTATTAGAAATATAGTATTATTGCTGATGATTTAAAATCTAAAGTTACATCTCCAATTATAATGATCAACAGCAATACCAAGTATAATATGATAATAATAATAATTTAATTAAAAGAATGAAAGTTGACACTCTTTTATGTGTCTCCACTATTAAGATGCAATAATTGCGCGTTTTAACAACTGATTTAATTGACGAATAGAATCATCAGTTGCCATAAATCGCCAACTTTTATCTAAATGTATATACATGTTCCATGTGATGCTGTTACTATAGTAATTTAGTAGATAACCGATATGAACTTGATCTTAAACTTGATCTTGAATAAAGGATTGCGTGGTCAAGAGTGTACAGTTGATGGAATCAATATTATAATATAAGAGATGTATTTGTATGAATATAATTTTATTGCTAGAAAGATATAATTTTATGTATTGAAAATTGTTTATAAATATTATTTGAATATATTTACATATATTTTAAAAAAAATATTAATAAGAAAAGAAAAAGTTTCATTCTCTTTGGAACTTTTTGATTTATTTGATTTTCTGTCCTTAAATTTGTTATTCTCTGTCATCATTTGTTAAATTTGAATAATATATATTATAATATATATTATAATATAAGAGATGTATTTGTATGAATATAATTTCATTGCTAGGAAGATATAACTTTATGTATTGAAAATTGTTTATAAATATTATTTGAATATATTTGCATATATTTAAAAAAAAATATTAGTATAATATAAAAGAAAAAGTTTCATTCTCTTTGGAACTCTTTGATTTATTTGATTCTCTGTCATTAAACAATTTGTTAAATTTGAATAATATTATAGTAAGTATTTGATTTTTGTATTAATATCGAATCTTGAAATTTTCATATTTCGTATATTAAAATTTCTTTTTTATGTCGTTTTTGGCTATATTTAAAATTCAATAACTTGAAATAAAATCTCAGCAAGTTTTTTACGAGTCGATAGTGGATTCAGTTCACGAAAAAAATTTTATTTACAGTCTCTATTGAATTTTTCCAATTTTTCCCAAAGAAAAGTATCTTTACTTTTTTATTTGCTACACGATGCAAAAAACTCAAGATAGTGAAAGTAAAGATTTCACGCTTTGAAAATCGAATTCAGATCGTTCTTTTAAGGATTCATAACAATTTAAAAAATATCGGGAATTTTTCACGGAATATCGGCTCCCCGCAATAGATCTCATAGAATCAAAGTACAATATCGAGGGCAAGGTATTTTCAAGATTCTTTGTCGGAGAAAATGTATCTCTTTCCCCGAGTTGGAAGTTTCTTCTCGAGCAATGGCGTTTTCGTTTCACCGGGGCAGGTGTTTCCTTTCACGAGACCGAGTATCCATCCGAGTTCGAGAATGAATCCATAGAGGGAGGATCCATAGAAATCATGGCCTGTAAATCGATCCATCTGTTCTAGGATCGCGTGCACCGTGCTCCCGTGCTCACGATCACAGAGAAAGGGAAACCGATCGTCTCGCCTCGTAAAATCGGCCCACACTCGGATTGCGCGGTGCGCGCATTCCGATGGCGGAGCGAAAACAAAAACGAGCAACGCGTTATCCTTTTTTTTCTCGAGGATCGCGGAACCGTGACAGTGAAATCTCTATCCGAGGAATTCGAATCTAGAAACAAGGAAGGTTAAGGCGTGTTTAACGATCCGTGAAGTTTTTCGAAGTATTTGTGAACGAGTTCGAGAGTTGTGTCACCCATGTACAATCCTGTTCGAAAGTATTGGGACAGTTCGAAGTATTCGAAATGAAAAGTATTCTAATTAAATATATTAAATAATTATAATTATTATTATAATATATATTAAATAAATATTCTATTAAATAATATAATTAGATAGATATATTAGTAATTTTTTAGGTTTACTTTATTGTTTGTGTTTTAATATTTTTTTAACGTCTCTTGAATTCGTTTTGTTCGATCATATCATCATCAGTAAGCTTTAAAGAGTTAAGTTTGTAAAGGAGAGATTTTAATTTTCAAATCTTGTGTGGGTTTAGTTATTGAAAAGAATTTTTCAGTATCTTTCTACGTATAATTGATTGAATTTTTTAAATTTTTGAGAGGAAAAGTATCTTTGCTTTTCTATTTGTTACACGATGCAAAAACATCTTTGAAGAAAACGAAGTCAGAGCTGTGAAAGTAGAGATTTCATTTTAAAACGAGTTCACACTGATTCTGGTACGATCTTTTTTTTACGAAATTATAATAATTATGAATATCGTTATAATATAATTATAATGATAATATAATAAAGTTATAAGATAGAATCAAGCATGAAAAAATAGTAAACAAAATAAGATATAAGGATCTATAGACTTTGCTCTTTTCAAAAATAAAATCATTGATCATGTGATACCAATGATAAGAAACAGATTTGTTTTATATGATTATTGAAAAATTTGCAAAGTAAATAAGATTTTGATTAAATATCAATATTAAAACACAAATTCAAAAAAACACATCGTTCAATTTCAATAAATTGCAAATAAAATTTGAAAAAAATTCACTATTTAGAAAACACCAACAATTAATTATCAAAAATTGTATCAATCAGCTATAACAAAATATTCTTCTTAAAATTGTTCTTAAAATCTCAAATTTTCTTGTAATTATCATTCTTCAGAAACTTCATTCTCTTTCTCATTTTTCTTGACGTAATAAACCGTTTAATTAAACAAAGCTCGCGTGAAACTTCCGAGTTAATAACTCGCTTTACAATGCCAAACCACGTGAAACCAGGAAGTTA